GGGGATTGGCCCAAAGTCACCCAGTTGGCTTTCATGGTTAAGGCAGGTCTAGAACTCCCCGTCTCCTGGGTATTGGCCCAAAGTCACCCAGTTGGCTTTCGTGGTTAAGGCGGGACTAGAACTCCCCGTCTCCAGTCATTCAGCTAGCTTTCGGGAGTTCTGAATGAGACTAGAACTCACGACCTCCTGCTTTCTAGCCTGGTGCCTTTGTCACTAGACCCAATTGGCAGAGGAACCTGAGGGACCTGACCCCCCTTACCTTACAGGACACACTTTATAGCAAAAGTTTTCTTGGTTTTCTCTCCCCACCCCCACCCCTCCCCCTTTGTGCTTCTAGCCCAGCTCTGACCTGGAGAGACATGCAGCACCTAGTGGTGAGAGCCTCCAGCCCAGCTCACCTGCAGGCGGACGACTGGGTCCGGAATGGAGTCGGGCGCCAAGGTGAGGCTGAGCCCCAACCGTTGTCCGGGCAGGGCCTACTGCTATCAGGTGGGGAAGGCTGTGGAGACCTCGGAGGGGGCGTAGCGGGGGGGAGGGCTTCAAAAATTTTAGCAACGGGTTCTCTGCCCGGTTGCTGGGTGGGCTTAGCCATGGTGGGCGTGGCCTAGTCGGCCTCCTGCACCACATGGGCGGGGAGGAGGGGTCGTTTTTGTCCTCCCCAGGCTCCGGAGGATTTTTCTCAAGCCTCCGGGAGGGTGAAAACGTTCTCCCCGAACTCCGGAGGCTCTTCGGAAGCTGGAAACGGGCCCATTTCTGGCCTTCCAAAACTTCCAGGAGGCCCATTTTCCGCCCTCCCTGAGCCTCCGTGCGCGCTTACCTGCACTTATCCAAAACGGGCCACATGGGGACTCCGGGGAGGGGACGAGTGGGTGGGGCCAGCCAGGGGTGGGATTGGGGGGGGGGTTCTCCAAACTGCATAGAATCTTAGCTAGAGGACCTCCTGAACCCCTGCGAACCCCCAGCAGCCCACCCCTGTTTTGTGGGGGTCGAGGTTAACAGCAACAAAAGAATTAAGATGGCAGCCACGAAGTTTTGGTCCAGCTGGGCTTTTTCTGCCCCTCCTCTAGGGAACGCCGTCCCTTCGGAGGCCAGAACGGTCCCCAACCCTATTAGCCTTTCATAAGTCCCTAGAAAAACCAGGGGGTCCCAGTTTGGGACCCCAAATGTGTCAAGGGCCCCATTTCCCCTGGCTGTATGGCTAACTTGCCAACGGTCTCCGCTGCTGTGGGTATATTTATTTTGGAGGCTTCTCTTGTTTTTATTGTTAACTAATACAATGGGGCTTTTTTAGCATTTTTGATTGTAATAGATATATTTTTGAATTGCGAAGCGCCCAGCGTCTTTGACTGAGATGGGCAACTATAGAAATCGAACGAACGAACGAATAAACCGACGCTCTGTCTATTCTCTACGAGGCATATCGTACCTTGTGGAAATAGTTCTCTGGTCTTTTTTAGAGTTGCCAGGTGGCCTATAAAATGTGTGTGTTTGTTGATAAAATAATAAAATGAAATAAAACATCAAATAAGTAATAAAATAAAATCAGGGTAAAATAAAATCAGTCAATAAAGTGAAAGGAAATATCAAATAAATAACATAATAAAGCAAATCAGTAAAAATAAATAATAAAATAAAATATCAAATAAATAATGATATATAATAAAGTAAAATAAAATAAATAATAAAATAAAACAAAGTGAAATAAAATAAAATAATAAAGGAAAATAAAATAAAATATCCAATAAATAGTAATATATAATAAAGTAAAATAAAATAATTAAATAAACAATAAAATAAAACGAAGTGAAATAAAATAAAATCAATAAAATGAAGTAATAAAGTAAAGTAAAATAGAATATAATAAAGTAAAATAAAATATAATAAAATAAAATAAAACACTTCCGGGGCCCTGTTGTGCCTGCCTGCTTGACTCTTTCGACCACATCAAAAGAATGGGACATCCCAAGGCAGCTCCCTCATGACTTGTGACCGTCATTGACAGGCTCGATGACGGTCGTAGGTCGAAGACTACCTGTACGCTGTCCGACGCTATGCAGAGCCCTAGTTCCTCAGTCTCTGGAGGGGGGCGGCTCCTCTTCTGGGGAAGGAGCCCGTTGCTCTGTCAGTACGGTGGGGCGGCCTTGGGGTGCCAGCATGCCTGGAGGGCACCTGAAGGCTGAGCAAGTCTTTCTCCTTCCAGTCAGCCACTACTACGGGTACGGGCTCTTGAACGGCGGGCACTTGGTGGAGATGGCCAAGAAGTGGCAGAGGACTCGGCCTCAGCGGAAGTGCTTCATTCAGGTGGTCTACAAGCCAATGTAAGGAAGCGTTGGAAATGTCTCTCCCTCCCCCTCTCTCAATCTCTCTCCTCTGTCTCTCATCCTCTTTCTCTTATCCTCTCTTTCTCATTCCCTCTCATTCTCTCTCTTTTGCTCTCTCAACCTCGGCATTCTCTCTCAATCCCCGTCTCATTCTGTCTCTCATTCTCTCTCAATCCTTCCCATTCTCTCAAT